TATTGTTGGACAACAATTCTCTATCATTGGAATAAGATAATAATTTTTGTGTTGCCATGGCAACGGGTTTCTGACAGGCATTTTTTGCTAAATTTAGTACTTTTTGTTTCAACAATAGAATTTTATGGGTTTTATGTCAAGTTACTCATGGTTTCTAATATTAATAACTTCCCATATAATTTTATGTAAATTTTATCATTAAATATGCATAATTTATGCTAATTTGATGACGTCATTGGCGAAAATCCAACATGGCGGACCATATCATAAGAACAGGTATATACAGGTTATTTTCATTAAGATTTCATTAATACTTCCATTTCTTTTTCCAAAAAACGTTTAAATGAAGGTCTTTTAGTATGTTTACAATGTATTTTAGGCTTTATCATGAAAAAAAACTATTTTTGAAAATTCAAAATTGATGATCCAAGATGGCGGATATCTTAAATATGCATGACGTCATTTTATGACGTCACCGGTATATGACGTCATAATGACGTCCTATTACATTATAACGACATAAAAATTGTAGATATGATACATTTTTACTAGTACACCATTCTCTGAAAATTTGGTGGTCATACGACATACCGTTCGCGAGGTCTTAGGGGGGGGTCAAAAGAGCCCCCCCCCCGTCCCCCCATGTCAAGAAAAGCCCGGTCTAGGTAGGGTTAATGTGGACACCTACACTTACACACACTTTCATAAATAAAGTACCGACTTGTGTTACGGTAGTCCACACAGTCCGCACAGTCACAATGAGCTGCAGTGTTCCCGCACCAGTTGTAAGGAGAGCAGCACGGGTACATTCCGTCAGGGTTACACTCAGCCGTACTCCCGTCTGCTATAGTGTAACTGCCTCCACAGTGGGCATCGGCACGCCATTTGTTAACTGTATATTTAAAAAAAAAGATAGACAAACTCAATAAAAACATACAAGAGTTTTACAAAGTTTACTTTTGTCAAAGGATAATACATATACGCTTTCGGATAAGGCCAGACAGGAGCAACATATTTTCATCATTTTTCGTATGTAGGTATCTTATGCAAATTATGCAGATGAAGACTCAATTTGCATAATTAATGAAGAAATTCTGTAATTGCAGTGTTTTTCATGATGGTACTTTCATACATTTATGTTATATATGGTAGGCGAAACACTATCAGATACCAATTATACAAATTAAGGCTTATTTGCATAATCAATGTGAAAATTCCATGATTCCTTAATGGTTAACGACGGGAATTTTGTACCTTCTGACACGTGTATGTTACTTAAAGATTAACATTATGTACTAGTATGTTTTACAATAATATAGAGGTCATTTGCATAATTACTGATGACATGTTAATATGCAACATTGATAGGTATTTCACTCCAAAATATTGATGTGTAGAAAACAATTAATTAAAATAAATTATGGTAGTTATGACCTTATGCCAAAAATCAATAAGACAAATGTGGAATAACAAACAAAAATTCTACATATTTCATGGAGGTATGATGTTTGCGAATTCTTGTTTTGGATTTGATTTGTTGCAGTACAGTCACTGTATGAAAACCCACGTTTCCAAGAGTTTCCAGTCCCGCACACACCCGTGAAATTCGCCGTGTCCTGGTCGCGTCCATGGATTTCCGGGCTCCGCATGTACGGCCCCGGATATTTCCTTACACTCCCGGATTCGTGCTCGCCGTGCACGTGCACGGAAATTTACGCCCCGCACACTTGGCGTGTGTTGGGTAGCGGCTAACAATAAGGGGTAATTAGGTACTGCGTGTATTCATGTTTCAGGTGATAATTACTTGAACCAAAGTTGCCAGCACTTTAATCTAAGCAAATTAGATATAGAATGATCAAGGATTGTTAATACAACATTTGAACCTATGCGTCCTTGGCTTGATTTATCGTGATGTCGTCCATACGACAAAGCACATTTGAGCGTAGGGCGCCCCGACGCTGGGGTTATATAACCTACTCGGTCAAAATGACCTAAATCTACACTCCAGTCTAAATCTGAATTTTTTATTTTGGAAATAATAGTTTATCCGTGAGGTTCATTACCATGATTTAATCAAACGCTTGACTAAAGGGGTTTGAACTAACGTGACCTGATCAGTTTGTTATGATTTTTAGGTGCATGTATTGGTAATAATATGCAAGCTTTACATTGTAGTTCGGTCGATGTGTATTGTGATGTGTCTGACATGGCGTCCATTTATGTGAATCAAGGAGCTTGTGATGAAAGCTCCTTGTGTGAATAGACTTTGTGTAAACAAAGGAAGAACTCACAACGTCCCCACGCCTGGTAAAATACTAAAATCCAGCAAAACAAGTCAACTCTCATGACGTTAATTGTGGATTTTGGATACATTTACAAAGAGTAAGGTTATGTTGGAGTTAAAGTACGGTTTTATTTCACTCAGTGAGCGACAAGTTGTGTAATTCTAGAACGAATAAAGCCATGTAATCATGACGAATTAGAATTATGAAGATCATTTGTCTGCCTTGAAATAAATACATTCACACAATCAGAAACATCCTATCATCCAAGTGTTCAGACTGCACAGGCGATTTAACTTAAAACCTATAATATAAAAACAAGATCGTTGTAGTATTGAACGCGATCACGTGATTATATGACTGACGACCAATCCTACCTCGCTCTCGCCGGGACCAGCCAATAAGAGACGCGATGCTTTGTTTTGGTGGGTCGTTTGAATCTTGCTTTGTCACAACGACGGTTTGCTTTTTCAAAACACGTTTGTCTCGGCTTGCAAAGATTACTAGTATGTTCCTGAACTAAAATGGCGTCAAACATTCCGTTCTGTTACTTCGTTTTCGCAACGGAAGAAATGACTCTACTACACGGGCCGACAATTTGCCGACAACACCGCAACGAACCAGGAAACCGACAGGAGGAAGGGTAAGCTAAAACAAGGATACTATTATATATACGGCACTATCGTTACATATATCTTAAACATGTTGTTCAAAAACCTTGGCTAAGTTGTGCCTACGGAAGAAATATTTATTTTGGCAAGAAGTGTACACTATTTTTTTACTGATTAATAACATAGTTTATTATTTCTACTTAGAAGTACATCGATATAGTTTGTATGTTGCTCAGAACATATGTATTTTTTTCAGGCGCGGATTTGGGATACTTTGAGACGATTTGAAGAAACTTTATCGCCAGGCTGTCGGAGAGCTCAGAAAAGAAAGAAAGAAAAGCGACTGCAGTCACACAGAAGAGGGTGAGTCTATGCAAATGTATATCTTTGCATACGAAAGCCGACAAGGCTCTTGACAATTTGAATTGTTTTCATTACCGAGGGAAATGTTGTGTTTGTATTGTTCCCATGATTACAATGAAAAGAAACAAGTAGACATTGATGCTTGATGAATGGAGCCTTTTCATCTGGACAAAATTGTTGCTGTCTGACGAAAAAACATTCGTTAAAAAATGATAAATGACTTCTCCTCGAAATGTGTCCATACAGACGTCCGCATCTTTGCCAGGCTTGTTTATAAAACGTCTAGTACATGTACACGTAACTTCAAATGAAATTCAAAAATGCCTTCGACTTTTAACTTAGATTTTCGTTTTTCCATGTCCTGCAGGCCAGGCTGGAGGCAAACAGGCAGACTGAACACCCAGGCTCAGATCTAAAGGCGAGGGTGCTGTGTTAAAGCGCCCGGCAGGCTCCGACGACCCAGGCCGGCCCCGCTGCACTCCCGCCCGGGGTGCACCCCGCGCCCAGCACGCCGCTCCGGCCTGACTGCGATCACAACCGACACCAACACCACGCCATCCCGCAGACAGACAGGGGGCAGTTTGTCCTTCCAGGATGAAAACGTTTCGCTATGGTCCCCTGAAGCAAGGGGGGGGGGGCATACCTCCTGGCCTGAAATCTACAACTAAGCCTCTTTTTGTAGAGGCGACAACGCAAACTTTACGAAACCGACAGCTTGTCTTTAACGACATTGTAAATTGAATACGTGTTCATGTAATTCATTTCTGAGCAAATGATCTTTTTTTGTAATGACGTGATATTGTTTTCTGCCAAGCCTCATTTAACTTCATGTTAGGTCTGCAATTATGTTTTTGCTACACGTACATGTATTTTGAAGAACTTTGTTTGAGGCCTTCTTTGTTTATTGAAAATTTAGTCTTTTGACTGTTTGTGCAAGGTGTATAATGTCCTTGGTTTGTGTAAGCGCCATTCACTTTCATGATCTGAGGGCTATTTTCCTCTTTTAACCTGATGATATGTCAGTATTAGTTACTTTTTGACATTTTTTGCTATAATGGACTTCTATTTGGAGGTGACTGTGATGAGATGTGATGTTAGTTTACTTTTTAAAGTTAGAGAAATCTGTTAATTACTAGTAATTTCTGAGTTTACACCGGGTCCAACGATTTTAAAAGTCTAGTCCCTGGAAGGCTAGTTCGGGAAAAAGCTATTGTTTCTATGTTTCGGCTACACATATTTGTAAAGTACCAGGTTACATTATTGTATAGTGTTAGCATAGTGCATAACGTGTATACACTATACATAGAGCGTTATTTTTGTCAGTCTGTAAATGGCGATCCTGTTTATACCAATAAAACGATGAATGAAGTATAAACATGTATTACTTTTTTTATGAATGAAATGTGTTCCTAAAACATCGAAATGTGTCCCGGGAGCGGGGGAAGCGATTTCTCGGGAGCCGGGCAGCGAAGCCCCGGGAGCGGGAAGGGGGGTCCCCGTAGTGGGTGCAGTGGGGTCCCGAGAACGGGAACAGCAGGGCCCCGGGAATGGGAGCAACGGGTCCCGGGAACGGGAGCAACCGGTCCCGAGAGCGGGGCGGGTTTTGGCCGGGGGGTAGTACCGGCATGTCCGACCCGTACACGGCGAATTTCCGCTGCCGTGTGGAGAATAATTAGGTGATAATTGCCGCTAAATTATGCATTCCAGCAACGCACGGAGCGGTGCACGGCCATTTCCTGCCGTGTACGGGGATGTACAGGGATCGTGTCCGGGCATATAACGTCCAGTACACGACCTGCACACAAAAAGTGGTTCATTTCCGGGAGTGTACAGGACATGTACGGGACTGGACACGTTTCGTGTGCAGGTCGGAAACCCCCGGGTTCTACCGGAAACCTAAAATAACCGGGAAAGTGTGCGGCAATTTCTCACACGGAAACGAGGGATTTTATGCGGTGAGTACAGTAGCACTTATAGTACTGAACTATTCCTGCAAATTGTTCAGTATTCTTTATTATGTGATTCACTGCTTGTCTCAATATCTGATAAAAGAAAGTTGTATTGAATTTTGTACACTCACATAAACCGTTGGGGAACCTCTCACAGATGAAGTATCTCAGCAGGTGACATTTGGCATCGTTCCAGTTGCTGTTTCTCCAATATTTCGGAAAATACTCTACACAGCCTTCAGGATTGTTGTACTGGTTCAACCAATTTTTACCCCCGTTGTTTGGCTCAATCGGTGACCAGTAATTGTAAGATCCGAGATATGTGCCATCATTCCATTCCCATTTCCCTTCGCTTTGCCTATCATTCAATCCAAACCAAAATCCCTGATGAGAGGATTTAGCATTTTTTAACTGAACCAAGAAACTGTTAATGTCTCTGTTTTTTGGCATTGCAAGATTTCCACCTGCTCCCTGCCTTTTGCAGTAGGCAGATGCGTAAGTCCAGGTCTTTTGAATGCTGAAAGCTTTGTAGCACTTCCTGTACTTCAGTTGATAACCGTCCTCGCATGTACCTGAAGCAGAGTTTTTGTGTTAAAAGTTTGTTATAACAATACAGTAACACAGTTCACCTCTGCGGGCATCATTGTTCAACCTACAACCTCTTTTATAATAGTATACATGTATCATCCTGCAAGAAGAATATACAGTCACTGTACTGTTACTTTAAATGTATCCTAAGTTCTCTCTTTAAAGTATCAGTTTGTCCCTGTTCTTGAGATGCAACCGGGAGCAGAGCATGTTTGTCTACGCTAAAGTGTCTTGCATTATAGCTTACTTCCTATCTACTTCAGCAGAAGATAGCTCTACACAGAATACCTTTAAAAGGAGTGTATGTCCAACCTTATAAACATAGCAGTTACCGCAAAGAACTAAAAAAAATGATATGACTGGAAGGTCAAATTCAACGCAGTGTTTTTGCATGCGTTGGGGGATTTTCTTGACAAAAAATTCAATCAGTTGATAAAGACATTATCACAGATATGTCAATGAAGGTTGGACATCTAGGTAATACGATACGCCAAAAAGCAGTTACTCAAGCAACTGAATAATGATTTTGGAAACGGCCAGACGTTTCAGCTAGTATCCACTGGCTTTCGTCAGTGACTGAGAGACCAAATTTCTCCTCATTGCAGACCTAGTGCCAACGGCTACTCCTCGGCCATTTTCCACCACCTACAACACAACCAGGGTCACTCTTTCAAACTCGAGTCCACGGATATCTTAGACCGCGAAACACGCTGGTGGGAACGGGGCGTTAAAGAGGCAAAATATGAAAGAATGTACAACCCCAACCTCACCCAGAAGGGGGCCTACGGGTAGATCTCTCCGGTACTTGAGTTTTTGGCGCTCCCAGCCCTGAGGACAGGAGCTTTCTGACTAATTTGCATTATCTTGCCTAGACTTGTCTGACTTTTGTTCCCTTTTCACTTCCAAAAAACTTGTCTTCACTTTATTTGCATATCAATCAATAGTTTGTGCTTATAAACCTGCATTTCTCCTCTGGTCTCTCAGTCACTGACGAAAGCTAGTGGATACTAGCTGACCGTTTCCAAAATCATATCCAGTTGCTTGAGTAACTGCTTTTTGGCGTACATTTTCACAGCATTATGTTTTTAGATGAATTGTAAAGCATAAACATGCGAAGATATTTGGATTTATGTTACACTTCAAGCTATCATCAGACTTACCATAAACAAGATATTTTTGCAGGCTTTCTTTCACACTGCTGAGCTCTCTTTCCCCCTCTCGAACCTTAGCTGTAATTTCACCTTGACGCCCCTTGATTCGCAGAGCTGCAATCCATGCACAGTATCCACCTCCAATCAGTCCGTAGACCTGCGCAGCCTTCTGTCGCATCTACATGACAAAATCAACATTCATTCCTAAAAATCAAACGCATGGTAATTCGCAAACTTGTAACTTTCAAAGCCAGTACTTAATTTGTTACTTTGAGCTTTCAGCTTTTGTACTATATATTCTGAGCATCCCATGCCAACTGATCAGTGGATTAACTAAGAGGGGGACTTAGGGTGTGGGTTAAAAATTATAGAACATCACCCAGAGATTTTTCAGGGGATTAATTCAGGTAGGTGCAAAACATTTCATCGCAGTCAGTATTCTTGTGCATCTTGTTTCTTTCCCGTTCTCATGGCTATATGATTAAAAAAATACTTTAAATAATATATTTATATTATAGTAAAACATATGGATGTATCCCTTCAGCGTTACGTCTCCAAAGTGTACAACTCGCATGCCAAGTCAAAGAAAGAGAAAAGGGATGCATACCTTTATGCTATACTGTTCCAGGCCTCCTTTGTTCAGTTGTTGATGATATATGTCGAACAGAGACTTGCCCCCAAAAACTGATGATTGTGGTTTTACCATGTTCAACATATTGAGCAGTACCTGCAAAAGCACAAGACATTAAAAAAATGGACAGATTGGAAGCAAACAACATACTGCTGAGAATGCTGAGTTTTCATCAAATCTTAAATGCTCTGCAGATAGTGGATCTTGGTTACACATCACACCAACAAAATACTTAAGAAGATTTCTTCAAATGTGCCTTTAGGAAAGACAAATTAAACTAAAATCAACCACTTTTAACGTTAAGCTGGTGATACTATGTATCTAAGAAGTCTAAAAATGAAGAATAGTTCCAAGTGAATTCTTCGTGACTAGTAGTTTACTCTCAGTCAGTGCAACACACCAGATGAGACAATAGACGTAACTTGTTTATGACAATAATGTGGCTTGGAGTGGGGCGTTTTTTGTACCAAAAAAATGTAGTCACTGACAGAAAAATCAAACATGACCCATGGACATGTATTGGACACCCATTTAATCAATGCATACCGTCTTCGTAAGTATCTGATAAAATGTGTACCTACATTTCTGATTCCATCCGAACCATGACTGAGGACGCTGTCTGCCCAACCCTGTATGTCGCTGCCCGCATACTGTCCATTCCTGATTCGCATCCTAGAAAGAGTGTCCAGCACGTTCTTCAGTCGTCGTTCTTCTCTGCCGTACAGGATGACTTGTTGAAGGTACTGCTGTCCCAGCTGCAGGTCACTGACGCTTCGTGTCAAGTCATCTATCTTCCTGTCCAGCTCCCGGATCTGACCTTGTATTTCATTGAGCTGACCTTGTATTTCATTGAGCTGTTGGGTTGTTTGTGCAGACTCCACGCGGTCCAACAGGAATCCGACTAAGCCAACAACCCCTGTGAAAACGCCAAACTCTACCGCAAACCGCTGGGAAAAACATAAAAAGCATCACATTATGTAATGACTTTAACAGCAAGGCTTATGGAGAAGACATCATTCAACACATGCCTAACAAATCAAAAAGTGTGCACCATTTTAAGTCCTTGATTCCTCATTAAAGGTAATTACCTTTTCTCTTTCAGTCACGTTGAGAGCGGATCCTGCAATGCAACAGACAGGAAACTGTCATAGAGTAACCACTTTCCAGTTTGATTCCAAATATGGTCATATATGTTTAGATATTATTTAGGCTTTGGGGCTACATGGAGCCACATATTTTATACACTAGGCTTTTCATGTAGTTATTCAAATGTAAAAGATGAGACAGAACAGGTTATTTTCTGTTCCTCCCAGAGTTCAGACACATGAACAATAATCAGAATGTTAGTGTTTATAGAACTGTATTGAGGGAATGAGACGTTTAGTGTGGATCACGCATATAACTGTGAATGTAATTTTGAGAAGAAAGCCTTCTGCATGTTTACTGATGGATCTGTGAATGTTTGCTTTTGGGAGAAGATATCTTGATACGAGAATGTTGCTTTGATACGACCAGACCTTTAATGTTGTATTTTTCAACCAAGAAAATGCATGTCAATATGAAGTGCATTTCAAGTAGCTGTACAGCTAGTGACCGTTTGACATGTTTGACCGGGAACGCCAGCACGTCATAAAGTTGGACTGCGCTCACACATAAGAACATCCTTTTAAAAATTATCATACTTATTAATTTGAATGAATATGCCATGCATCAACATTTCGCCGGTATTACTGTTACCTGTTATGTCTGTTTTGGAGGAGTCAACTTCACAATTCCAGAGACCATTGGAGTCAGCTTTCATCTGAGAACCGGGAAGACAGACGACAGGATAACAGAAGCGGTCTGCTCCTCCACAGATGCAGTTGTCATGATCAGATGAACCCCACTGGTCTCCTTGCTGTCAGAAAACATGAATTATTTCAGCAAGCGAGTACTGTAGTAAAGGCACTTTATTTCTGGATATTGATTGTGCAGTTTTGCATACGTAAAGTACACCCACAATGACATTTTCAACTAGAGTTCCCCGATCTCATACCTTCGCCAAATGATGTCAATCTTGATGGCTGACAAATTATAGATTATTTCCCTGATTGTGCAAATAGGCTCTTCATTTTCATGAATTATATCAGTTTATCATAATTTCTCAACCAAGACAGTCTTATGTTAACGATCGATGCCATTCTAGCATTTACTCATAAATCATGCAAATGAGATCCTAATTTGAATACATTATGTTTAATGATGTTCACCTTCACTGCACTATCAAATACCATGAGTATGAAATTCCAGGCAGTTATCATTACAGAATTATAACATTTTCTTATTGATCATGCAAATTAAGTGTTTATTTACATAATCAATATCAGCTTGTGTTTATCGTTCTCAATTACCAAATATAATCCAAGCTTAAATAGTCCTGGAATGATGGAATACAGCTGATTTATAGAATTTCCCCATAAATTATGCTAATTACATCCATATTTGCATAATTGTCACGTAATTATATTAAGCATCACGTAAGCTAACTGCATACCAAAAATCAAGTCGCTAGGGGACCAAACTCACGCCACTTCTTGCTTAGCACAAGAGCTACCTACCATCCAAATTTTGTCACCCTAGCATGGCTAGATCAAAACCGGAAGTATAGCTGCAGTACCATACCAAGCCGCTAAGGGGTCCAAAATCTAATCATTTTGAGATCTCCATTTAAGCCTTCTCAAGTTATCGTGTCTACAGACGGACACACACACACACATACACGAGGGCCTCTGAAAACATAACCTTGAAGGTCAACTTGAAGGCGAAGGTAATTATTGTTATACATGTAGCAGATATGATACTACTGTGTTACTGGGTACACCTCATTTGCTACTGCCGTACACCTTAAATTAAAACATTTTTATAGACGTATCTAATTACCTGATGGCCTTCGCAACCTGTCTTTTTTATTAGTCCTTCGCCAGCTTCACCGCGGAGGTCGACAGCATTTTCTTCTGCAACAGCAGGAGTCTCTTCATCAGCTACCCCAAGGTCAAGATAGTCTTCACCTGTAACATAGCAATTCATTGTATCATAACTGCACCATCTGACATAGAGTTTTATAACAGTAACACCAAGCTTGTTTGAAAGTATATCTGATTCACTATCAACAACTCGAAGAAATAACTCCCACTTGAATATCACAAAACTATGCAGCATTTCCACCGGTTTAGGGAAAGAAATAGAAATTTGGAAGCATCGTACCTATAGAAAAACAACCAATAAAAAGCCTGGAGGAAATTCAAAGAAATGTGTCATAAACTACCATGACGTACGTGACAAAACTGCTGAATTGAATTAAACATATAAGCAATTTACCTATACAATCACTATCCTGATACCATTATAGACACCGAGCCTCTGGTACTTAGAATTCCATTGGTAACAGTGAATTGTCCCCTCCAAATCATACTGTGACTATGTATCTCACATAGGAGTTACTACATCATCAGATGCTCCATGCATTTCATTGCGCACAATTTTCCTTGTAAACAAGAAATAGAAAGGAGCATGATTCGCCAGGTAATGTACCTGATTATCTGAAATACCTGCCCAATTTCAACACAATTAGGGCCTGCATGAATGAGCCAGTGACGTTTACCTGATCTTTGTCTTTGTGGCTTGGTGGTTTTCTATAAACAGATCTTAATCCCCTTATCAAACGAGATTTAACGGGCAGTAAACGTTTGAAGCTGTGTCTGCAGATCTATTGGATGTATACTTAGAGAACTCGTTCGTTACCTTCCAGTATCTGGAGAAGGCTGTCCTCCAACATGCTCATGTCTGCACGCTTCTCACTGCTGTCAGCTAATGCAGTGTGGAGACAATGAGTCCAAAAATTAGCTGGGTGACTAATGAATTTGTATTTACGTAGTTACATAAAAGGCTCAGTAATATGTATATTGGGTATCTTGGAGAAAATTTAACCCAATATGTAAAGTGATCGAGAGCGTGTTCTTCCCCTGTAACAAAATCATTACCAACTCATGAAAAGCATTACTACAAGAATCCAAATCCACTCATACCCAAGTTACCCGAACCATTCATTAACATCGTTAAGAGGACAGGAGGAAGTTGAGAAACGTAAAGATGTCTAAGATTCTTATAGTTCATGTTTGAATTTTCTGATTCGTTTTCTCAGACTGATATATTTTACACAAACTGGCTTGGACATTCCATTCTTTGAACCAATTATTGTCTTCACGTGTGTTGAATGACTGGATGTTTATCGCTGGAAAGTGTAACTACTATAACCTTTCCGGAAACTTACTACTATACTCCCAACTTGGCACATGTGCCTTGCATTTGTTCTGGAAAGACAAGGTGTCGTGTGGCACTACTAGAGTTCCACGATCTCATACCTTCGGCAAAAGATGTTAATCTTTATGACAGACAAATTATAAATTATTCCGCCTGATTATGCAAATAGGATTTTCATTTCCATGAATTATACTAGTTTATCATATTCTTCAGCATCTTAAGAAAAAATTCCATTCAAGCATTTCCTTATGGATTACACAAATGAGGCCCTTAGTGCCTTCGACTTAAGGCTATGCCTTCGGAGAAGGCTATGAAATCGCTTTTGCACTGTTTGGCAGATTAGGCACGATAACTATTGAAGGCAAGGTTCACGATTTTTGACAGGCAGGTTGATTTGGGGGTGGCCATTGTCAAGGCTAAAAATGGGTTTCGTGGGGGGTTCCTAAGTCACTGTAGTTGACCTTGGTTTTTGGTGTTTTTTCCTTGTGTACAAGATATCTCGAGTATTCTTAAATGGATGTTCATGATTTTTAGTGGGCAAGTTACCGTTGAGAATGCCGAGGTCAAGTTCAAAGATGGGCCCCGTGGGGGTTTCTATGTCACTGCAGTTGACCTTTGTTTTTTTGTGTTTTTTCTTGTGACCAAGATAACTCGAGAATCTTTAAATGGATGTTCATTTTTTTAGTTGGCAAGTTACCATTGAAAATACCAAGATCAAGTTCGGATATGGGCTTCGTTGGGGGTCCCCACGTCATTGAATTATAAATTACTGCAGCGAAACTTCTGGTTTTTAAATCTCGTGATCTGGACGTGCTAGGGTCATGATTTTTAAATGGTAGGTAGCTCTTGTGCTCACAAAAAAAATGCC